CACGAGCTGCCTTGAAGTTGACATCTAGAAAGGCAGGATAAAGCTTGTGCCGTTGTGAGAGAAAAGGAGTATTTGCCCTCTCTTGTGGAGTAGACTCACTGACGCACTCGTGATCCTCCCACATGCCTTGCAAAATTTTATAAGGTGTGGCAGTGCTGACGGTGTGCTGTCAAACTCTTATCTCAAGTCAAATCTTCTAAAGTTGTAGCGTATACATCACACTACTTTGCTCCTCTCTGTAGGTGGCTGCGGCTACTCTGTTTAAGAAACTCTGGCTATGCTCAGAGGTGCTCTTTATTATTATTTCACAATATTCTGAGGTTGCTTCTCGCCGCTACAGAGCTGATCCCTGCTCAACTCCCCGCAGCCGGCAGGTTGCTTTGGTTCCAGAAGTTCTGCTTTCTTGCCAAGACCTGAAACCGATATGTGACATGTGACGGCTATCTCTTTCTCCTCCTCGCTTTAGTTTTCCCGTTGCCATGGGGACAGCATCATCCAAGGATGACTCTCCCTCCGCAAAGACCCCGGAGGCTTCGGTCCCCTTCAGCATGACGGACGTCTTCCTCTTCTCCATCATCATTGGCCTGCTGACGTACTGGTTTTTCTTCCGCAAGAAGAAAGAGGAGGTCCCTGACTTTACGAAAATCCAGCCGCCAACGGGGTGAGTGGGTTGGTGGTGAGGTACATGGGTCTCACCCATGGCAGCTTACACCCAACAGCTTCAGAGAGGCGAGTGCTGGAATCACGTTGCACATGTAGCCTTTGGAAAGGGTTTGGAAGCTTCTGCTGGCCCCAAATCCTGTGGCCAGACTGGTGTCTGGGCCCAGGTACAGGAAGCACATTAAGACAACTTCAATGGCTAGCAGTCTGTGTGTTTCCAGGCACAGTCCAAACTAACAATTTTGTCCTGCAAAGCCCTAGGTGTCTTGGGCACAGGCTACCTGAAAGATCGTGTCTCCCTACACGAACCTGCCTGGTGAGCCCCTTTTCTTGACCCCATCAGCACCAGAGGGGTAGCTGGTGGTGACCCAAGACAGAGCCTTTTCTGTGTGCTCTCAGATTGTGAGATCCCCTCCCAGGAGAGGTCTGACTCCCTCCCTCCCTGTTATCCTTCCACCAGCAGGCTAAGACCTTCCTCTCCAGGCAGGCATTTAGAAACTCAAGTGCAGGCAATGCAAATCTCTGGGCTTCAATGAGTTTTCGTTCCCAGTTCTAAACGTGCTTTTACTGTATTTTGACTACTGTTTTCGGATCCTTTGTTTTACGATGCATTCTGTTATGTTTGCTTTTAAAATGCGGCAAGCTGCCTCGAATCCCAGCTTGGGGAGTTAAGCCAGGAGGGAGAGTTCCCTAAATATGCCTCAGACAGGACGATTCCTCCGCACCATACTAGCATACTTCTTTTCAGCTGGATTTTTTCACAAAAGCGATTCACGGTATGATGCGATGAGGTTCAGAGGCAGCTGACCCAGATTGCCAGGTGCCGCTGGCTGGCATCAGTCAATGATGCTGCAGGGCTTGTGGTTCTCCTCCTCTGAAATGCAGTGGCAGCAAACTGCGGGGGGGGTGTGTGTGTGTGCTTCTCTATGCAGAATCCTTTGCCCGGTTCATCTTCCACCTTTGCTCTTGCTATGTGTAGATGGCATCTATTCCTGCAGGGGTGGCAACCCTCAGGCCTGGGGGCGGAATGTGGCCCTGCAGGCATCTCTGTGTGGCCCTTGAATCTCTCCTCAGGCCGCAGCCCCTCCCTAGCCCTGCTTTATAGCCCAGACATTTTTGCCTGGCTGTAAGGTGTCCTTGGACGCTGATAAAGCCCCTCGCTGGCCTGGATGGAGGACAGAGGGGGGTCTGTGAGGATGTCTACAAACCAGGCTAAGGTAAAAGTCTCAGTTGGCATCAGGGGAAGACCTCAAGGGTGCCGTTGTTTCCACAGTGCCATGCAAATGGTGGACGTTGCATTTGCAAGTGTCCTCCTTAAAGCTGGGGGGTAAATGCAGGTCTGCATTTAACAGCAAGCAGGGTTGCTGGATCCTGGCCTTTGCCTCCCACCTGACTGATGGGAAGGTGCGTTAGCAGGTCGCCAGTTCAAAGTCTCAACTGCAGCAAACATACGAGGTAACCTTAAGCGAGCCGCTGTCTCAGCCTCAGTTTCCCCCATCTATAGAATGGGAAGAATGACTCTGTTTAGGGATGTTGCAACTCCTGCGGGGCTGTTGGGTGCTTACTGTGTGGAGCGATTTAACAGTGTTTTGCAAGTGCTGCACAAGTGCTTTGTCATGGTTTTAAAGCAATCGTACAGCACTTCCAAAACACTGTAAGCAGCTTCCTAAGCCCAGGAGAGTATTTGAGGAGAATCGCTTGTTAACCACCATCACCTCCAAAGTAGCTCAGAGGAGCAAATCTGTGTGAGAAAGGAGCACATCTAGATGCCAAAGGATTGAAGCAGAGATCACGTGGAGCATGTTTGCTGGGGTGGTGCAATCAGTTCAAAGTCTCAACCTCTTAACCACACCACTTTTCTTTATGGTGCGGAGGAGGCCTAGAGGGTGCCCCACCCAGGGCTCTCTCTGTGAGAATGCTGTCATTTCCCCCAGCGGGGGTCAGCAATTGGGCCTTCCTCGAGGGATTGGATTTTGTTTACAAAATAGCCTGGAGAGCAGGGGGAGGAATCTGTGGTTTGGTTAATGCACCTGCGAGAGGTGGAATGCCATGGTCCCAGTTTGCAAAAGAAAGGTCCTGTGGAACTCACTCCCACAGGAGGCAACGATGGGTGCCAACCTAGATGGCTTGAAAAGGGATAGGACAAATTCATGTAGCAGAGGGCTGTTGTTGGCTACTAGCCACGTTGGCTCTGCTCTGACCCCACAGTTGCTGTGGCCAGGAATGCTTCTGAAAAACAGTTGCTGGAAGCCACAGGAGAGGAGCGGGGTCCTTGTTTTCCACAGGCATCTGGCTGGCCTCTGTGAGAAGAGGAATACTGGACTAGATGAGCCTTTTATCATTCTTATGATAAAAGAGGGAAGGAATAAGTATTCTCCAGAATGCAAAAGGTATTACCCGAAAGGGGAACCAACCCTGCAGTCCTTTCCTCCCAGGCAATCTCCTCATTTTGCCATGGGGCTGGCTGGCTGTTCCTGTGGGGTGATGCTCCCATGTCGCTTCGTGACCTTGCAGGGTGATGGACCCCTGTTTTGTCTCCTGTTGCTGTCTATCCGGAACGTGTGCGGAGAAGGGCAAGCAAGAGGATTAAGGGTCTGGAAACGAAGCCTTATGAGGAACGCTTGAAGGAGTTGGGCATGTTTAGCCTGGGAAAGGGGAGACATGAGAGCCATTTTCCAATACCTGGAGGGCTGTCGCATGGAAGATGGAGCAAGCTTGTTTTCTGCTGCTCCGGAGGAGAGGACCCAAACCAATGGATTCCAATGACAAGAAAGGAGATTCTGACTCGATGTTCTGACTGCAAGAGCTGTTTGACAGTGGAATGGAATCCCTCAGAAAGTGGTGGACTCTCTTCATTCCAAGTTTTTTGAACGGAGGCTGGATGGCCACCTGCCAGGGATTTTTTAGCTGCGATTCCTGCATTGCAAGGGGTTAGACTAGATGACCCTTGGTGGCCCCCTTTCAGCTCTCCAATTCTGTGATTCTATCTCACAGCCTGTTGGCCTCAGTCTCTCCTCTCCGGATGCTCTCCGTACATCAACAGCTGTCTTTTCTTCTTCCTCCTCACTAGAGGAAAATGCATTAACTTCTCTTAATAAATGGAACAGAGGAAGTGTTTATTCACACTTACAGTTTGCCCCCTCCTCCCCCCCCCCGGCAGAGGTCTGACCAGGCATGACCTTTTGGGGAGTTTAAAGGAGTTTGTTGAAAATGCATCTTTTGCTTCGTTTGACTATAGCCAAGTCTGCTGTCATTTCACTTATTCCTGCTTCCATTTGACTGTGAATAATATATCTTTCCTGCCTCTAATCTTGGCCCCTGATCGCTGGCTTCCCTTTCTTTGCATCCTCTTTCCCACGACCCTCCTCACCGATCGCTTCTCAGGTGGCCAGGCCTGTTCAAGTCCAAGAACTGAAGCAATGGTTTCTCCAACAGCAGCCTGGTGGGAGTCGAGAGTCCCAAAACATTTGGAGAGCCCTAGGCTGGTGGGGGTTGCCTTGCAAACTAGACCCACGTCACTCCCCAAACAATTGCTCAAGTCATAGAATCCTAAGAGTTGGAGGGGCCCCTGAGGAACATCTAGTCCAACCCCCTGAAATGCAGGAATAAGCAGCTGTCTCATAAGAGAATCGAACCTGCAGCCTTGGCGTTAATCAGCACCACACTCTTCTTATGTCCTTATGTTAACTGCAGCTGCCAGGATTCTTTGGGGGAAACCGTGACTCTTTAAAATCATTTGTTGATGTTGCTTTAAATGCATGCTGCAGATGGGGCGGCAGCGACGGAGGGTCTCTGGGTCTGGAAGCCCTGCGTTCAGCCATTCCTTCTGTCGCAGACTCTGCAGCTTGCCTTCCATGCAAAAGCAGGATAATACAAACCAGCTTGTGCCAAGATATGCTGCGTGTTAATTCTGTGGCTTCTGCGTGCTGCATTTCCCCCACAGCGAGGCCCATGGGGCAGGCTGGCCATGGGGAACAACTTTTTATTTTTTATTTTTAAAGAAAGTTTTGGGGGAGAGGATTAACCTTTTAGGACACTCTCCCCTCCCTTCACTTCCTCTGCACACACCCCTTGAGTCTTGTTCTGAAAAAGGTCCTGCAGGGACAAGAACTCTGGGGGAAGTGACAGAGATGCTTTTAATTATTTAATTAAGAAATAGTGCTGTGATGTAAACCTGTTGTTAGGGCAACGGGCGTTTCACTCCGTGAGACGTCTCTCTCTCTCTCTCTCTCCCCCCCCCACCCCCTTCAACCCTTGAATGGTTAGAGAGATGGGGAGTGTTGCAAGGGACCCTGGGAGTTTTCATTCTTGAGTTTCTCTCTCTCCCCCCACCGCCACTCATTCCTTTCTGCTCCCGCCAGATGTTGGGAGTATAGTTGGGTTCGTGCCGGACCCTCCGGGTAACTTTCGCAAAGGCAGCCGGCACGAATCCCAGAGGGATCGAGCCAGTCTCTTTGCAGGGACTTGGTATGCAGAGCTTTGCTCCGCTCTTAAACAAAAGGGGGGCTGTGGCCGCTGGCTTTTTAAGCTCCGGGAGAGGGCTCAGGGGGGCGAGGGACCCCTCGTGTGCGTGCCTGTCTCGCGGCGGAGCGCGGCTCAGCCCTCCTGGCTCCCTGCAGCTGGCATGAAAGTGCAGGGTCGGAACCCGCCATGGGCTGCACATATTCGTCTCCACCCGAGGAGGGTCCTCCGGGGAGGTAAGTGAGCGGATGTGCCCTTTCGGGAGGTTTTGTGGCTCTGCGCCTCGGATGCAAGGCTGGCTCTTCTCAAGCTTGCTTGAGCCAACCGTTCTGGATGCAAAAACTTGCCTGGAGGCTGGCGGAGGGGAGCTCCGTGGAGAGGAAAGCACTCTGCAGTTTGCAGGGATGCTGCCATGCGAGGCTGGTGCGTCGCAGGAATGGCTCAATCCTCTTCCTTTTTCTCTCTTCTTACCTCCACCGTTGTGGGGAAGGGCAGAAAAGAGCCTCTGCTTTGCATGCAGGACGTCCCAGGTCGAAACCTCAGTGGCCTCTCTGGGGAGGCCTGGAAGAGTTCCTCGCCTGAATCCCTTGCTGCCAGTCCGTGTAGGCAGTACTGAGCCAGATGGGCCCAAGGTCCAACAGCACCAGGATTTGTGTTCCAGTTTGCCAAAGCACCCAAAACTTCATAGGGGCTAGCCTGCTCTTTCTCGAAGGCCCAGGTGTCAAAATGTTTAGGAGGAGGAGGGGTCCTGTGGCTCAGTGCATGGCAGGATGCTGGCTCCTGGTTCAGCACACACCTCATCCTGCACCCCCAGTTAAAAGATCCTGGAGAGCTGCTGCCAGTCAGAGTGAGTCCAGGCTAAGCCATTGCTCTGACCTGGCTCCATAAGTCTCTTTTCCAGACTAATAATCAATCTGTAGGTCTGGAGGCACATGAGGCCACCAGCCACCGAATCTGGGAAGCCTGTATATGCCACTCTGCATTCTGCAACAGAAGAAAGGCAGGGTATATACATTTAAGGAAATTATATTAATAAAAATTGTTCTTTCTGCAAGTTCACTGACATCAGCCTTGTAAGTTGGGTCAGTATCGTGTCTTCCCACCCACCCCTTATTTTGCACATTTTTACTTATTCACACTTCTCAATATTCAGCATTGGTTTATTTGTTTGGAGTAGTTAGTTTCCCTTAATAGATTATTTACCATGCCGGCTCGTATCGAGCCTCCAGGTTGGGAGGCAGTGCATCTGTCAGTTTCTTGGGAGCGCCAAGATGGGGAGGGGCTTCTGCCTTGCTTGGGAGCTTCCTGATTGGCTAAATCTGGATGGACCCATAGTCTCATCCTCTAGGGCTCTTCTTTAATGTCATCATGAGTCACGAGAGGAGTGGAACCTCCATTTACAAAACCAATCTATCGTTGACGACCAGATGTAATGGGGATCTGATGCCGCCTCTGCCTCTTCGATTCCCAGAAGAGGCGTCTTGGCCGGATAGTGTGGGAAACAGGATATTGGACCAGAGGGGCCCCTGGATCTGATTCAGCAGGGATAGTTTTTAAAAGCATTCAGCTATGCAGCCGCTGTCACAGTTAGGATGGCAAAGGCGAGAGGAGAGTCTCTTTTCTGATTCATGCTTGCAGATATCCATTGGGCTTGAGGGCAAGTCATAGTCTCTTCCAAACTACTAGCCGAACTACTAGGGCGATTTTTGTAAACCGGAAGAGTTGAGCCAAAGCTGTCAGTATTGTACGAGTCATGAATTATGAGTGTATGTGGCTACATGGGTCTCCTGTGGACTTCACTAGCAAGACTGTTTCAATCGGTTTTAGAAAGTTTCCATGCAAGGAGCCTGCAGATTCAATTTCTGGTGTAACTCTGCACTTCCTGCTTAGAAATAGGTCCCATTAAATTTAAGAGGAATAGCTACACCAAGTAAGAGTGTATACCTGGGGTTTCCAAAGGCATCCCTTTACCTGCTTCTAAAGTTTATTTTTTTTAAATTACATTTTGCAGTGTTCTCTTTTCTTTTTTATCTTTTGGCAGTGGCCGGCAGGGTGGGCTGATTATTATTTTTTTTACATCAAGGTGATTTTAAATCTGCAGCAAGAAAATCTAGCTTGGTCAGTAGAGCATGAGACTCTACTGATGGCTAGTTGACTTGGTTGGCCCTCTCCTCCTCCATGAATTTGTCTTGTCCTCTTTTAAAGCCACCCAAGTTGGTGGCCATCACTGCCCTCCTGTGGGAGGGGAGTTCCACTGTTGTTTGTCTGTTCTGAATAAATCAGTCCTGTCTTCTTTGCATGCCAGGCCAAAGGGCTCACATGCTCTCTGATGTGAGTGCTGTGAAATGCTGATCCGCGATGGACCAGCAAAGACAAGGGGTGTGTGGTTGACGGTTTCAGCTTACAGATTCTCTGGCCATGGCTATACTGTTGGCAACAGCAGATCTCCTCCTGTAAAATGGGAGGAGAGAAATGTACCTCAAGAGTAGCATTATATCTATATCTATACCGGTATCTACCCTGAATCTGCAGGGTTAATATCTTGTCTTATCCTTCTTCTTTTTACTACAGCTCCCATTTATTTTTGCTTTTATTCATTTATTGTGTTTATATCTCACCCTTTTCTCCGAAGGGCGCACACATGGCTTTTCCTCCCTATGAGGTAGGTTAGGCTGGGACTCAGTGACTGGCTGCCAAGGTGACTTTTGTGGCTGAGCAGAGATTCGAACCCTGGTCTCTCCCAAGTCCTAGTCCGGCACTCTTAAACACTCCACTCCCAATGGCTCTCCTGAGATGAAGCTCTGGGCTATCTGCCTTGCCCATCTGCCTGTTGCCAGTTGTAATTATTATTATTATTAATAATAATAATTCATTATTTGTACCCCGCCCATCTGACTGGCTTGCCCCAGCCACTCTGTGTGGCCCTCGGTTGGTGAAAGCTGCTCCACCAGCTGACTCCTCCCCTCCCCTTTGAAATCCCCTCCAAGCTCCGCCCTCACCCCCTGGCCCCACCCACTCCAGCTCTGACCCTGCAGAAAGTGACTGTGTGTGTGTCATAGAATCAAAGGACTGTAGAATCAGAAGGGTCCCCAGGGTCATCTAGTCCAACCCCCTGCAATGCCTCTTTGCGTGTTGTGCTGTGCTTGAAATCCAAAGCTGGCAAACCACGCTGATTCCGCCCCCCCCTTTTCCTTTCCCTGCCTGCCTCACATTCTTCTCCTATTGTGAAACAGGAATGGGAACCAATTCCATGTCTCTGCTCTTGGCTGCTGTTAGGAGCAGGCAGACAGCCAGCTCCTCTCCTCCTCCTCCTCCTCCTCCTCCTTTGAAAAGCATCCTCGCCTCCTGTGGGATCCAATTAGGCCGCTCGCTCGCTCCTCCTCCTCCTCCTCTCTCTCTCTCTCTCTCTCTCTCTGTGTGTGTGTCTCCCCCATGCAAAATAAAAACATCTCCATCTCTTTCGCCTCTTGAGGCCCACGCCTCCCACATCCAGATGTGTGCTTCGTTCAGGCCAATTTGGACATCCCTCTCGGATGAGCTGTCCTTGTTGCTCACCGCCGGAAGCGCTGCTTGCTAAGCCTCCTCTAGCACAGGCCTTGGACCCTCCTGGACTTTCTTGAAGCTCTTGTTTGCTTGCCTGCCTAATGAGCTTGGCTCTCTACTCCCCTTCTTCTTCTTCTTCCTTTTTTTTTTGGGGAGGGGAGGGGGACGTCTGCCTCCTCCCCCTCCAGACAGCCTTTCCTCTCTCTCCAAGGCTGCTGCGCTAAAAGGCCTTGGCGAGGCAGCCTCCTCCCCCAGGGCAAGGTCTGTTGTCGCAACAGTCCCGTCTGTGGGGCATCAGAGCTGAAAGGGGGCCCCATTGGAGGCCGGCCAGCCAGCCAGCCAGCCCCTGCTCAGGGTGTAAGATCTGCAGTGCTGGTTGCAACACAGCCCCCGCTAGAATCATAGAATTGCAGAGTTTGGTGGGACCCCCAAAAGCAATGCAGGTAGCAGCCTGGTCTCTCCAGCAAAGGAAAAGCAGCCTGTTCCACTGTCAAAAAGACTTTCGGCCTTGCAGTGTGTTTCCGAACACTCACCCAAAACCTGCTCCCTTGCAATGGGTCCTCCATAGGTCCTGTTCCTGCCCTCTGGAGCAACAGGGGGCACAAGAACAGGCTGCCGAATCGGGCCAGTGGCCCACCTAGTCTGGCATCCTGTTCTGACAGTGGCCATCCAGATGCAGTTGGGGAAACCCGCAAGCAGGATTCGAGCAGAAGAGCCCTCTTCCCTCCTGTGGCTTCCAGCAACTTGTATTCAGAAGCATTGCCTCGGTCCTGAATACCTGAAGGAGCGTCTCCACCCCCATCGTTCTGCCTGGACACTGAGGTCCAGCGCCGAGGGCCTTCTGGGGGTTCCCTCACTGTGAGAAGCCAAGTTACAGGGAACCAGGCAGAGGACCTTCTCGGTGGTGGCGCCTGCCCAGTGGAACGCCCTCCCATCAAATGTCAAGGAAATAAGCAACTGTCCTACTTTTAAAAGACATCTGAAGGCAGTCCTGTTTTGGGACGTTTTTAATGTTTAATGCTGTATTGTGTTTTTAATATTCGATTGGGAGCCGCCCAGAGTGGCTGGGGAAACCCAGCCAGATGGGCAGGGTAAAGATAATAAATTATTATTATTATTGTTATTGCTGCCTCCAACTGTGAAGGCAGAGCAGAACCAGCATGGCTAGTAGCCACCGATAGCTGCCTGCTGCTCTCTGAGTTGGTCCAATCCTCTTTTAAAACCATCCAAGCTGATACCTTCCTGTGGAAGCGAGTTCCATAGATTAACACTGCGGTGCGCAAAGAAGGACTTTCTGTTTTCCGTCCTCCATGCTCAGCTTCATTGAATGTCCAAAGAGTTCTAGTGTTATGAGAGAGGGAGACAAACCTTTTCCTATCCCCTTTCTCCTGGTTGTGCATCATTTTACAGACGTCTGTCATGTCACCTCTTACTCCCAAATACTGCAACTTCTTCTCATAAAGGAGTCATCCCCTTGATAATTTCAGTTGTGCTTTTCTGAACAGGAAGAAATCCACTGTGAACCCTATAAGCATAGCTCTTTGTGTGAGCAGGAATGCTATAGTAGGAGACTGGGTCAAGAGCTAAACAATGACACTTTGCTTCAAATGCCTGTTTGGCCATGAAGGTTTTCTGGGTGTCCTTTGCATAGTCATTATCACTCAGCATAACCTTAGGACTTGATTTATTTCTGACTTTTATATTCTACCCATTCCACACGATCCTCTTCGTCCACTCTCTTAGCTATGACATTGTGTTGTCTATTGCTTTTTGCTGCTCCTGTTTCATTGTGCCCTCCTGAGCTGCTCCTGCCCCAGACAGTGTCTGGTGGGGGGTTTTAAATTGTGGTATGCAAATCCTCCGAGTTAAATAGTCATAGCTCACCTCAAAGGGTGGTCGTTGGAGGAAAAGGAGTGGGGATGCAAAAGCTGCAATAATGTCACCGCTGCTGATGGTGTCGGAACTACCCTTGCGTATCGTTTTCTTGTAATCCTTAAGAGTGACCCTGCAAGGTAGGCCAGAATTGCCGCCCCCTCATTGCTGATGTTGAAGCCTGAGAGAGTGTGACTCCAGAAGCAAAGAGCTGGTGATAAAAATGAATTTAAGGAACCGCAGAAAGAGGAGGAAGGAAGTTGAGTTTTGAAATGTTAAAATGACTGTGAAACTATTGAAATGTATATAACTGAAAATCATAAATATATATGTATATATATGTATGTATGTATGTATGTATGTATATTAAAGATAACTCTATCTCTCTTTCCTTCAGAGAGAAGACAACAAATGAGGGCAGCTTCATTGAGAAAATGAAAAAGACAGTATGTTTGGCTTTTATTATGTTCATACTTTTAAGCTAGTAGGCTAGAAATGGAAGCTGCCTAAGACATTGTCCACAAGCCTTGATCCTCTGCTATGGAGTGACTGAGCCAGCTGAATGGTGATACTGGTTAGGAATGCAGGAAGTAGCTTTGTCCCAAGTCAGACCATTGATCTGTCTAGCTCAGTATTGCCTACACGGGGTGGCAGCAGCGGCTTTCCAGGATTTCAGACTGAAGTCTTTTCCCAGCTGTTCCTAAGGATGATTCTAGTCCTTGTGGTTCTTAGGAAAGGGCTGGAATGGGAAGATAGCTGCTTCATGCAGAGTCAGATCATTGGCCTGTCTAGGTCAGCATTGCCTGCACTGGCTGGCAACAACACCAGGGTTTCAAGCAGGGAATATTTCCCATCCCTGCCTGGAGGGACTGAACCCGGGATCTTCTGCATGCAAAGCTGATCCTCTGCCTCTGAGCTATGGCACGTAGCAAGCAGGGAAGAGTCACCTCTTTGCCAATCAAGTGGTATATAAATGTTGTTTAATAAAAAAACCCACCAGAATTTATACTGCATGCATTTCTCCCTAAAATACTAATATTTTTGCACTCACCCCCCCGCACCCATAAACTCTGAAAATATGCATTTTTTTGAATTGAGGGCCAGCTTGCAAAACTCAGAGGAGCATGTGGAACTGTGGTCCAATCTGTGTACTGGGTCAGGAAGTGCAAATTTGAGTTGATTCACGTCAAACCCCCACAAAACTCTCCCCCGTATCTTCCCGCTGTCTGAAATGGGTGCCATTCAGGGAGGGTTTTACCACTTTCACCTGCTGCCCCCCAGTGTGGAGCAGAGCAAGTTTGCAGAGAACGATTCAGGGAGGTTGGGACCAGGCCTTTGGTGATGAGCGAGCCCAGAGTTTTTGAACCGACTTGAGTTGTCTTTCCTTCTCAGGGCAGAAACATAGTGGTGTTTTATGGATCTCAGACGGGAACTGGTGAAGAATTTGCCAACCGCCTTGCTAAAGACGCCCATCGTTATGGGATGCGGGGCATGTCTGCCGACCCAGAGGAGTACGACCTGGTATGTTCTCTGCAAAATCCAGCCTGTTTGGGTCCTTGACGTGATGAGGGACAAGCCCTGCTCTGCTTTTCCCACAAGCAAGGCCTTCCCTGAATTGCTTCAGGAATTCCTTTGTGTAACTTTGCCTTCTTGCAACCTAAGCATGGTCCTCCCCTTCACATTGGAGATGTGGGATGAGTGGGTGACATAATGTGCTTTCAACATCTGTCTTGCACACAAATACTTGGCTCGTCCCAAAGAACGTTTCCAACCAAAGGAAGATAGTTACCTAAGATCACATGCCCAGGGGTGTTTGGGATTCTTCTGGGGAACTCTTGACATTCTCAGGAGCTGTCTCCTTATGTGCTGCCCCACTCTCATTCCCAGGCCGACTTGAGTCGCCTCTCTGAGATCGATAAGTCGCTAGCGGTCTTCTGTATGGCCACTTACGGAGAAGGGGATCCCACAGACAACGCCCAGGATTTCTACGATTGGCTGCAGGAAACGGACGCTGACCTCTCCGGCCTCAAATTTGCAGTGAGCATTTTTATTTCTCCCTCTGCCATTCTTTTTCCGGGGCTCAGGTTTGACATATGTAAGTGGTATGTGTGTTTGTGTAAAAGAAGCTACATTGGGGCTATTTCAGGCTCTTTGCCTCAAAATCTAGTTGCATCTGTTGCGTATTTAGCAGATTATTATTTTTTTAATCATGATTTTTATTGAGTTTTCCATATTTCATTTCATTTCATTGTACATATCCAAAGCTTATGTATTATTACTCAAAAAGAACATCGACCTCCTTCCCTCACTCTTTCTGACTTTCCTATAACTTTAACATATTTATCGCATTTCTATAATCACTTCTTTACCTTATATCATCTTTTAAAAATCACCCTCTCATTTGTAAATTAGCTCCTTCTTTCCACATTACCAAACATTTTCATGCGTTTACAATTTTCTTTCAAATAATATATAAATATGCTCCAGTCTTTTTGAAATCTGTCATCGGGTCGATTCCTATTTAGCAGATTTATTGCGCTGCAGAAAGTATGCTGGGGAGACCACACGTTCAGGAAACAATGAAGAAATGCAGAAATATATTTTGCTTGGCTTTAATTACAAAAACAAAAACTCCTCTTACATTAAATCTATAAGTATGACCCATTCACCAGGGTACTGAGAGAGGTATATGCTGCTCTTTATATACTATACCCAATTGCTAACACAGCTTAATTAACACAACTTAACAGCACCTGCTATACTGCTTCACAGCTGTAAAACTAGGTCATGATATTTACTCTGGCCTTTAAAGAGATACACATCTTGTGAAACAATAATGAACCTTGATATTTAAATAAACCATTCAACAGCTTCTCCCAGTGAATCTGAATTCTGAGTGGCAAATGACCTCAGTGATTTTAGCCTTGAAACATACCCAGCCCCTTAAACCTGCAGAGGCTCTTGCCATATTGTGGCTCTCATGGAAACTGACGAAATGAGCATCTCATCAGAAGAATGTGGATGTCATGGACTGGCTAGATTCAGAGGAGTGGGGGGAGGCAGCAGCTGGGGAACCCCCAGGGAATCCCCAGGGGAAGAAGGGTCAGAGCCTGGGGATTGGTGGCGGGATGACGATGAGTGGTCAGAGGGAGGAGGAGGAGGAGACTGGGAGGAGGAGGGGTCGGAAGCAGAAGAGGCAACAGGGTTTAGTGAGCAGAAAGAAGCTGTGACAGAGAGCAGTTCAGAGGCAGGAGAGGAGGGGGACCAGGAGACAGAGATGAGGCAGGCTGCTGCAGAATCCAGGGTGTCTCCCCCTCCTGCTGTGACCCGCTCACCTCCTACCTGGTCTCCCCGAACACACAGAGAAATGAATAGAGCGGAGGAGATATTGGCTGTGCGCAGGCACAGTCTCCGATTGCTTGCCAAAAACCCAGGATAGAAGGGGGCATAGGCAGCTGTGGGGAGGCAGGGGACCTTCAGTCCTTCCAACTGCCTCATTGGGGCAAGACCTACAGGGAAGAGTTGCTGGAGCAACTTTTAGAAAACGCCTCTCGCGGTGTTGTTTCTCTTTGCTAAACAAAGCCAAAGCCTTTGAATCTTTACCAGACCAAAACTGTTTCCTGAGCTCCAGAGAGATGCGCCTTTTGCAGAGAGAGCCAACAAGCTGACGCTGGTTGTTGTTGTTGCTTTCTTAGGTGTTTGGCTTGGGGAACAAGACCTATGAGCATTTCAACGCCATGGGGAAGTACGTGGACAAGAGGCTGGAAGAGCTTGGAGCCCAGCGGATCTTTGAACTCGGGCTGGGAGACGACGACGGGAAGTAAGTGAGCCTTGGTCAGCCTGGATAGCTCAGTTGGCATGGGTTGCAGGTTCGAATCCCTATATGGGACAGCTGCATATTCCTTCATTGCAGGGGGTTGGACTAGATGATGTCTTTGGGACCCTTTCAACTCTACGATTCTAGGATTTTAGAACTTCAAGTGCTGAATTTGTCCTTCTCAAATGCTATTCTGAATGCTTTAAAAAAAATTCTGCTGGAACTGTTGAGAAGACTAGAAATGCAGCAGCCACTGCAAAGTTGAGCATTTGTGAAAGTGGCTAAGAGCAAATGGCTTTAAACCAGCTGGAAGAGTTTGAGGGACAGGTTCTGCTATGAGAAAAGTGTTTCTCTGGCTTTAAAGAGGCATTTCCGTGATTGTAGAGAGGGCTGAGCATGAGAGAAGCAAAAGAAGTCAGGGGTGGGGGGGGGATGAACCTTCTTCCTAACCTGTGCATGCAAGAAGCTTTTAATCCTTGACCCTGAAACAAGGCTTGAGACGCTAGGCATATAATAATACAGTGGTACCTTGGGTGGCGCTGTGGGTTAAACCACAGAGCCTAGGGCTTGCCGATCAGAAGGTCGGCGGTTCAAATCCCCGCGACGGGGTGAGCTCCCATTGCTGGGTCCCTACTCCTGCCAACCTAGCAGTTCGAAAACACGTCAAAGTGCAAGTAGATAAATAGGTACCGCTCCGGCGGGAAGGTAAACGGCGTTTCTGTGCGCTGCTCTGGTTCACCAGAAGCGGCTTAGTCATGCTGGCCACATGACCCGGAAGCTGTACGCCGGCTCCCTCGGCCAATAAAGCGAGATGAGCACCGCAACCCCAGAGTCAGCCACGACTGGACCTAATGGTCAGGGGTCCCTTTACCTCGGGTTACATACGCTTCAGGTTACATATTCTTCAGGTTACAGACTCCGCTAACCCAGAAATAGTGCTTCAGGTTAAGAACTTTGCTTCAGGATAAGAACAGAAATCGTGCTCTGGCGGCGCAGCAGCAGCAGGAGGCCCCATTACCTAAAGTGGTGCTTCAGGTTAAGAACAGTTTCAGGTTAAGAACGGACCTCCGGAACAAATTAAGTGCTTAACCCGAGGTACCACTGTAATAGTAGTGGTGATGATGATGATGAGGAAATAAACAACTGTCTGACTTTTAGAAGACATCTGAAGGCAACCCTGTTAAGGGAAGTTTTTAATGTCTAATTTTTTGCCATTTTTTATCTGCTGTACGCCACCCAGAGTGGCTGGGGAAACCCAGCCAGATGGGCGGGGTATAAATATTATTATTATTATTATTATTATTATTATTATTATTATTGGTGGGTTGGTCCAGTGCCCTCCCAGGATGGTCTGGCATCTCCCCTCTCCTTTCAGGGGGGTGCACTGGCATTCGGCTTGCTGCTGTTTTGTTCTAAATGACAACTTTGCTTCCCACCCCCTACCCTGCCATCGCTTCTCTCGACAGCCTGGAAGAAGATTTCATCACGTGGCGTGAGCAGTTCTGGCCGGCAGTCTGTGAACATTTCGGCGTGGAAGCCACAGGAGACGAAACCAGGTCAGTCCTAAGAGATGGTGGTGGTAGCGGGATTGAGAACCGCTGCAGATGGAGCTTCAGTTTGAGTGTGGGAGATGGGGCTCTGCTGTTGGCTTGCCATGTGGCCACAGCTGGGCCCCTCTGGGGTGTATGCATCTACCTTTCACTCTGAATGAAGTTAATGGGCTTTCCCCATTGTTTTCAAAGGATTTACTCTTGAGTATGTCGGATGCAACCCATTGTCTCTGTCTCAAGATTGCCACTTGGGAACAGTAAACTCTTTTGAACCTGGTCCTGTCTAATGATGATTAATTTTATTTCTTGGAAATATATCCCACCCTTCCTCCTCAAGGCAGCAAACAGCGTACTGTTTAAAACAAAAGCAAAACAACATTTCAAAGCAGATTAGAGCACACTAGACACATTTAGAACAACAAACACATAAAATCAATTACAGTTCAGTTTTTAAAATAGCAGTTTAGAAAGTTAAACACATGATTTCATCTGGTGATCCCACGGGGTTGCTTGGAACAGTAGTCTTTAGCCAGCAATGTGCCTGAGTCCACAGGAATGTTTTCAAATGCCTGCTGCAAGCTAATAACGATGGATACAGGTGCACCTCACTAGGGAAGGCCTTCCACAATTGGGGAACCACCACTGAAAAGGCTCCGTCATGAGTCAGCACCATCTAGGCAGCCCCCAGTGACAGCAGCACCAACAAGGCCTCACCTGCTGATCGCAGGGTCAAATTTGGTTAGTATCACAGAAGGCACTCTTTTAGCTACTAGGCTCCCAAGCCATGTTGGGTTTTATATGCTAGTACCCATGTCTTGAAGGGGACCACCCCCGAAAAGGCCCTGTCATGCCACAGGTCACGCACACAGACCCCTGTCGATGTTTCCGGAACAGTCCCAAGTCTAAGAACTGGGCAGTACCATCTGCTTGGCTCTCCTCTGTTGTCCTCTGGAGAGCTGAGAAGCTGGCCGTTTTGTCCTTGCCTCTGACTTCTCCTTCTTCTCCTTCCCCAGCATACGGCAGTACGAGCTGGTGGTCCACACGGACATCAGCCCCGACAAGGTTTACACGGGTGAAATGGGCCGCCTCAAGAGCTACGAGAACCAAAAACCGTAAGTGCCACGTTTGTGGGAGCAGCAGGGTTGGTATCAGGACTGCCCCCCCCCAAGGGTCGCTGTAAGTTTGGGCCTCAAATAGCATTGCAGTAATTGACCTGCAGGTTACCAGAGCCATAGTCCACTGCAGCCAAAGTGTAGGTGCTTCCACAATCTCTTGCAAATGTGGAATGGGTAATATATGGCACCTGTAACAGCGCTAGTTCTGTCGATCAAAGAAGTCTAGTGTGTGTATATTGGGTAAGACAATCTCGGAAGTAAACTGGTTCCAGATTGTTAAGGGCTTTATATACTAATAGTAACACCTTCTCTATTAGTATTAGTATTTAGCTTTTCAGGTTTTAAAATTTTACAATTACCCAACAACCAGCATAAAAACAAGATTCCAAATAATTTCCTGAACTTTCCTTCTCCCCTTTGTGGGTATTAACCATTTCCTTCTGCATCTCTTATATATTAATCCAAATCTTTCGCATCTCAATTATACCCAAATTTCAACATTAAACTACAAGTGTTATTCCAATCCTCCTAATGTTTTTAGTTGTTTGCAATGGTTTTTAAGGCAAATTATGTATTTTCCCCATTCCTTATTAAAAATTTGGTCTTCCTGGCTTCTGATTCCTCCGGTCATTTTTGCCATTTTGGCATAATCCACCAACGTAATCTGCCATTCTTCTCCGGTAGGGACTTTGTCTTTCCATCTCTGGGCCATTAACATCCGAGCAGCAGTGGCCACATACATAAGTAGTCTTTTCTGGTCTTTTGGCACCTCGAATGCCTAAAAGAAAAACTGCATTGCTTTTGATTGTAATAAAAATAACATTTTTGGCAATACCTCCATTTTGATTACTGATATCCTTCCCAATAATGATCAGTTTCAACTTGGGGTGAAGATGTTACTATTATTGGGGTGGGAGAACACATTCATTTGGGGCAATCCTTGGAAGTGTCAAACCCCGTGTCCCCACTGCAGTGCAATCAATGACTTCAGGCACCTGGGGCAATAAGTCTAATGGGTCTTCTTGGTTCATTCCAGGCCATTCGATGCCAAGAACCCCTTCCTGGCACCTGTTTCTGTGAACCGGAAGCTGAACCAAGGCGGGGACAGGTACCTCATGCACCTGGAACTGGATATTACAGGCTCCAAAATCAGGTAAAATGGCTAAGAATGGATTTGATTCACCTGCATACCCCATCTTCCTTGAGTTTGTTGCATGACTTGAAATCTGAAGAGCTCTCCTGGAGCAGGAGAAACAGATCATGTCTGGCGCTATCCCCTGATTCTCACAGTAGACAGATGTCTCTTCCAGGGATCCCATCTGCAGAACATGATAATAGTCTCTCTCCTGTCCTCCCTGCCAGCAAGTGATGTTCAGAGATAGACTGCCCCTGAAAATGGCAGTTCCATTCGTTTTACATTGCCTGGAGAAGAACAGTTCCTCTTGCCTTTCGTGAACCTCTTGCCTGCCTGGTTTTTAATCGACACAACATTTTGCTTTGTACTTCCAGGCATTTTAACTATCTTGCATTTTCCGATGGCATAACTGATCCCTGAAGGGTACAAATAGTCTGCTCCCCTGCCCACAACTTGTATAAATTCTCCTAAAGTAAAAGTGGGCCTGTTTTTCTCTGGTGTTTCAATCCGTTCCCCATGCCTAGCTTATGGTTTTGCATAAAGGAAGATTGGAGCTAGGGAGGCCTCTATTAAAATGGAATTTTTTGGGGGGTGGAGGGAAGAAAATGCCAAGGATGTGTGATGGTCAGGGATGATGGGAGTCCAAAGATATCTGGAGGCCCACAGATCTCTGTCTCTAGGCTAAATGAGTGCAGCATGGTGGAACCTCTCCCTTAGGCTGTCCTCCTGTATTCTCTTCCTTGGAAGTAAGCTCCGCTGAACTCAGTGGGACTTCAGTTCCAGCTATAAATGTGCAGGATTCCGCAGCGAGCAATACGACATCTTCCTTAAGTTGATGCTGCTGTTTAGACAATGAGGTGTTGGCAGCTCAGGTTTTTTGAAATCATACTTCCAGGAAGCAAAGTGCATGAATGCAGAATAGGGCGGCCATACTTCTGGAATCTCCCGGATTTGTCTGCCGAAAATAGAGTCTGGGCGGGATTTTCAGAAATTGTTTAAAATGTCAGGGGAAACCCTGGCGTATGGCAGCCCAAGGGTTGCTGTAAGTTTGGGCCTCAAATAGCATTGCAGTAATTAACCTGCAGGTTACCAGAGCCATAGTCCACTGCAGCCAAAGTGTAGGTGCTTCCACACTCCATATCGGAACTTTCCCCAAAACAAAAGAAAACAGCTTTTGAAATATGGCAACCCTAGAGATGTCCGAGAAGATCTCATTGGAATTATTTTCACAGATCACTACACAGAATCTAGATCCCAGCCTTGTGCAATAATCACTCTTTTATACAATCACATGCTGAGACCTGCTCAGATGCATTTATCCCACTGTATTTCTTCAATTGTGTTTTAAGTGGAATATAATCAGACCCACAGTCCATCTAACTCAGTATTGTCTACACTGACTGGCAGTGGGTCTCCAGGGTTTCAGGCAGGGTTTCTGGTCTCCCCCAGCCCTACCTGGAGATGCCATCTGGGTCTCCTTGACCCCAATTCCATGCAGCCTGGGAGAGTTTTGTTCATGGCGTGTGTCGTGGGGTTCTGCTCTGAAAGCCAGACCAGGTGAGACAAGGCCTCTCTCTTGATCTCTTTGCCAGATATGAATCTGGGGACCACGTCGCTGTGTACCCAGCCAACGACACTTCGCTGGTCAACCAGCTTGGGGAAATCCTTGGTGCAGATTTAGATATGGTTATTTCTCTGAACAATCTAGATGGTGAGTATTCTCTCCCCCACCCCCAGAAAAGCAGTCCTTCCAATTTATTCCCTTTCATTTTGTCAAGCCGATGAACTGTCCAGTCTCCAGAATGGCAGTTCTCAAAATGTAAATAGCTCACGTCAGCGTAGAGATGATCGGCACTCAAATGATCTTTCACCCCTGCGTTTGTTTACAAGACCCTTGACTGAGCTGACTGGAGGGAGGTGATCTCAAGTCAACAGCTCACTAGGAGATAAGACAGGCACCCTCCTCTGAGAGCAGTGTCTGGGGCGGAAATCACTGAAGTGTCTGGGACGTATGGCAAGCCCTGCCGGAGGTCTAGATTTTGGTGAATTTCCTTAAAAATAGCTCAAAAACTACTTCTTTTTTGAGATTTTGCAAAAAAATAAAAAGCTCAACAGCTGTGGCCAAAACAAAATAAACCCTCAACAACTTTGCCATATTTCTGAAATATGGCAACCCTTACCCAAACCTCCTTCATTGTTATCATTTAATGCCTTACAGCACACTATGGCCACATTCACACAATACATTCAAAGCACTATGATACTACTTTAAGCAGTCCTGGCTTCCTTCAGAGAAGTCTGGGAGCTGGAGTTTGTTATGGGTGCTGAGTCTCTAGGAGTCTCCTAGTCAGCTCCCAGAGCTAAAATTTCCCATAGTTCTTTGTGAGGAGGGTTTGATTGCTTAACTACGCTAGGAATTGTAACTGCCTGAGGGGAATGGGGGCCTGCCAGCAACTCTCGGCACCCTCAACTAGCTGCATTTCCCAGAATCCTTCATTGCAGGGGGTTGGACTAGATAACCCTCGGGACCCCTTCCAACTCAACAATTCTATAATTATAAGACGAGCCCTTAACCTTCTTCCCTCCTTGGTGCTCCTTTGCGTACCAAACAGAGGTCCACCCGCCTTCTACAGTGCAGCAGGCGTAACTCTCCAAGAATCTGATAAAACTGTCTACTCACAAAGGCATTTCCGAATCTGAACGCTCTTTATGGCATCGCACAGAGTTGCACTTGCTATACAACACTTGCTTCTGCTTGCACAATCTAATTCCATGTTGGCACAAAGAAGCTTTTTTAAAAAACAAAAAACAAAACAGCTATCCAAGTTGGAATGAGCTTTCTGGCAGAACCAGTTTCTCTTCCCTTGAGTTCTGGATCTAAAGCTGTTTGGCGCCCAGCTGTCCAGTCTGGTTCCTTGGCTTGAAGTCTAGCCTGCCTTCCAGAACCTTTTCCCATGCGTTTTCTCTTTATGAACCTGAGATCGCCCATGCGTTTTCTGTGGGCTGCAGAGCTCGCTTCACCCCATTGAGTTCACAGTTAAGTGGTGGTGGAGACACAGGAGTGCCTTGAATAACTCTGTCATCTGCAGTTTCTTTGCATTTGCCCAGAATCTTTGAGGAGTTTGGCTTTCCCTCAGGCAGGCTCCTTGCCCAGTGGCCGATTGAGGCCATTCAGGGTGTCGGTTCTCGTAATGCTCATTTCTTCTTGCTTGTCCCATTCATTTGCTGTTATTTTCTCACTTGAGCCTCTCTGATTTCAAGCGTGAATGGGCTTGCACGAGTTCCCTTCAGATAGCCAGTGGCCTATCTAGTCCAGCATCCTCTTCTCACAGTGCCCAACCACATGCAAGCAAGACCTGAGCCCAAGAGCCCCCTCCCCTCCTGTGGTTTCCAGCAACTGGTATTCAGAAGCATCTACGCCTCCAGCTGCAAAAGCAGAGCATAGCTATTGTGGCTATTAGCCCCTGGTAACATTTTAAAGCCATCCGTTGGTGGCCATCACTGCTTCCAGTGGGAGGGAGTTCCACAGTTTAACCGAGTGAAGAAGGACTTTTTTCTGTCTGTCCCAAAACTTCCAACATTCAGTTAAATGGGATGCCCATGAGTTCTACTGCTATGAGAGGGAGGAAAACCGTTTTTCTCTATCCACTTTCTCCATGCCACGTGTAATTTTATAAACTACTTTTAAAAAAAAAGTTTATTTGGTTTTCAGATCAAAGTTTTACAATCACATATCCAATATACAACATAAAAACAAGATTCCAAGGAATCTCTTGGACCTCCTCCCCTTTGTGGGTCCTATTGTGAATCACTTCCTCCTGCATCTTTTATGATAATCCAAATCTTTTACACCTTCATTATGTCCAAAATTCACCATTAAACTACAAGTGTTATTCCAGTCCTACTAACAGTTTTAACAGTTTACAATGGTTTTTAAGATAAGTTATAAATTTCCCCCATTCCTTATAGAAATTTTGGTCTTCCTGTTTTCTGATTCTTCCGGTCATTTTTGCCAATTCGGCATAATCCATCAACTTAGTCCGCCGTTCTTCTCCGGTTGAAACTTTATCTTCTTTCCATCTCTGGAAAACTTCTGTCCTGTCACCTCTCACTTGCCTTTTCTCTAAACTAAAAAGTCCCAAGAGCTGCAGCCTTTTTTCCACAGGGGATTCGCTTCTGCCACCAAAACTCAGTGAGAGTGGGGGGGGGGTCCTGCCTTAATCTCAAGAGAGAGGAAATGGGGAAATCACAGAGTGGGAGAGACCACTGCTAAAGGCAGCCCTGTTTAGGGAAGCTTTTAATGTTTGATGCATTACTGTATTTTAATATTTTGTTGGAGGCCACCCAGAGTAGCTGGGGAAGCCCAGCCAGATGGGCGGGGTATAAATTTTATTATTATTATTATTATTATTATTATTATTATTATTATTATTATTATTTCTGAGCCCCAGTCACGTGGACTTCCATAGCTGATGGAACAGCTCACAGGGCATCCCCAGGGGTGGTTCTTGGGGCCATCTCTATAAGGGAAGCCCAATTTCCAAATCGAGACCACGAACTGCAGCATCAAACTGCTTTGATAACCGTGGCCCATGCAGGCCCACCAATGGGTTGGGGAGCTGCTTGGACTTTCAGAAAAAGACCTCCGCAGCTGTACTTTGTGGCAGCGCAGCTCCCTAACTCTTCCCTCTCCGCCTCCTTCCTGCAGAGGAGTCCAACAAGAAGCACCCGTTCCCTTGCCCCACGACCTACCGCACAGCCCTGACCTACTACTTGGACATCACGAACCCGCCCCGCACCAACGTCCTCTACGAGCTGGCGCAGTACGCCACGGACGCCACCCAGCAGGAGCACCTGCGCAAGATGGCCTCCTCCCACACCGAAGGCAAGGTAGGTCCCGGCCACACCCTCCGCAGCTAGCCCCCCCTAGTGGCATGGAGGCGATGTCTCAGAAAACGTTGATTAGCGTTCTGCAATTCCGGAGCTGGTCGTCGTGTGTCGGGCGTAGGGGGCCAAGCCGAGTGGGGCAGGGGTTGTTTTTCAGCCAAGTGTGTGCATGTGTTTGCGTGCCAGCTTAACCCTTTCCCCATCAAGAGTTAGAGGAGTCTTGTTCAGTGGTCCAGCAGGAAAGAGCAACTGGTCATGGAAGAGAGGTGAATCACATACTCCCTGTCTGTTGCTTCACCTCATTGAATGTCAGATTCCTGCTTTGATTGCTGAGAGGCAAAAACTCGTATTCTCCCCCCAATCCCTAACCCAGGAGTCCTTCCAATTGATTCCTTTTTGTTACGTTAAGCTGATGAACTGCCCAGTTTCCAGAACGGCAGTTCTCGAAATTATAATAGCTGGAGGTTTGCCCTGATTTTGCACCCCAGAAGGACTTGCTTTCAGCTCACGTCAGCGTAGAGATGATCTGCGCTCAAATGATCTTTCACCCCTGCGTTTGTTTACACCAGTGTTTCCCAACCGGTGTTCCGCGGCACACTGGTGTGCCGTGAGACCTTGCCTGGTGTGCCGTGGGAGGGAGGCGGGAGAGGCGGCGCCCGAGATCGCTTCTCCCCACCGCCCCTTGCTTCAAAAGAGGTCCGAGATCGCTTCTCCCCACCGCCCCTTGCTTCAAAAGAGGTCCGGGGACAGCGGGAAGCGCTTCGCGCTGCCCCCGGACCTCTTTTGAAGCAAGGGGCTGCGGGGAGATCGCTTCTCCCGCTGCTCCGAAGCGGGGCGGGGGGGCGGGAACACCTGCCCCAGCCGCCCCGCTTCGGAACGCTGCTCCGAAGCGGGGCGGGGGGGGGCGGGAACACCTGCCCCAGCCGCCCCGCTTCGGAGCGCTGCTCCGAAGCGGGGCGGTGGGGCGGGAACCTCTCACCCCGCCGTCGGGCATCGGAACGATGCCCCGATGCCGGGCGGTGGGGCGGGAACCTCTCCCCCCGCCGCCCGGCATCGGAACGATGCCCCGATGCCAGGCGGTGGGGCGGGAACCTCTCCCCCCGCCGCCCGGCATCGGAACGATGCCCCGATGCCGGGCGGTGGGGCGGGAACCTCTCCCCCCGCCGCCCGGCATCGGAACGATGCCCCGATGCCGGGCGGTGGGGCGGGAACCTCTCACCCCGCCGCCCGGCATCGGAACGACGCCCCGATGCCGGGCGGTGGGGCGGGAACCTCGCACCCCGCCGCCGGGCATCGGAACGAGGTCCTGGACCTCTTCTGAAGGCAGGCGGGGGCAAAAGTCTTTGCTCCCCCTGCCTGCCTTCCCGGGACAGCGGAGACTTCTCCGCTGCCCCAGGCGATCTTAAAATGCTGGCGGGTGGGAGCGAAGCGTTCGCTGCCGACCCCCAGCATTTTTAAATCTCCTCGGGGCAGCGGAGACTTCGCTCCCGCCCGCCAGCATTTTAAAATCGCCCCGGGACAGCAGGGGCTTTTAAAATGCTGGCGGTCGGCAGCAAAGCCCTCCTGTCCCCGGAGCTTGCGGGGCGGGAGGTGGGAAGAAGGGCTTTTCTTCCCACCGCCAGCCTTCAGAACAGCCTTCTGAAGGCTGGCAGTGGGAAGAAAAGCCCTTGTCCCCCCCCCCCAGCCTTCAGAAGAGGTCGGGGGACAGACTGTCCCCGGACCTGGTCTGAAGGCGGTTTCCCTAGGAACGCATTAATTGATTTTCAATGCATTCCTATGGGAAACCGTGCATCGCAAGACGAAAAACTCGCAAGACGAAGAGACTTGCGGAACGAATTAATTTCGTCTTGCGAGGCACCACTGTACTTTTTATATAGTCAATATAGGCACAGAGTTAAATTTTTTAACATTTTCTAATGGTGGTGTGCCTCGAGATTTTTTTCATGAAAGAAGTGTGCCTTTGCCCAAAAAAGGTTGGGAAACACTGGTTTACACGAACCTTGACTGAGCTGACAGGAGGGAGGTGAGCTCAGGTCACCAGCTCACGCTTAGCTTGGTAGGACAGGGAGCCACAAGTTTTTTCCTCCTGGTCCTTTCCGCCAGGATTCTCCTTGCAGACCAGCAGTGTCTCTCCAGGGTTTTGACCAGAGAGAGAATTCCCTTTGTCTCATCATCCCTCCCAGCTTGGATCCTTCGTGGTGCTGAAAACAAATTCTTAAGCTGAGCACATGCTCAGGTCTGTTTAGCCTTAAGTATTTGTCTTCTGCCATAGAACTTACAGTCCTTTTGCACTAAAATCTCCTCTTGGTTCTCTGTGTCTGCATGCATCATTGTGGGTCATTCTAACAAGTGGGGGCAGTGAGGCGCACCTCTTCTGGGGACGTCCTGTAGCTCAGTAATTCCCAAATCTTTTTTGGGCCGCGTTCCCCTTTGAGTTCTATGAACTCACTCCCAGTGCCCCCTACCCTCCAAAAAGCATTATTCAGAAGAGCAGTTTGCACAGCCCACTAACAGAATAAAATTTAAAACAGTAGCAACAAATGGCACATTTAATTAATTAATCCCATTAAAACTATTTAGTTTAATTCAACAAAATGGATGAACTTGATCCAGTGATACCAGCTTTTTGATACATTATTATTTTTTATTACTACTACTACTACTTTGTTGTTATTATTATTATTTGTATACCGCCCTATGCTTGTAGATCTTCGGGCAGTTCACAACATACAATTACAATATAAAAACCACAAAATACATAGCAAAATGTACACCTCTGGGGAACCCCCCCCAACAGCCCTCCTTGCCTTTTAGCACCCCACCCCCCAGGTCCTCCCACCGCCCCTGCCCCCCGGGGGTGCTACTTCTCCCTTTAGGAACCACTGACGAGCAAGTGCATCTCTTTGTGGGCCTGCCCAGCATAATATGTGGCTCACTGGAGGGCGTCTCTTCTTTCCTTGATCCACGCAGTCGCTGTACCTCAGCTGGGTCGTTGAAGCCCGGAGGAACATCCTGGCCATCTTGCAGGACACGCCCTCCCTCCGGCCCCCCATTGACCACCTCTGTGAGCTGCTGCCCCGCCTGCAGGCTCGCTACTATTCCATCGCTTCGACGTCCAAGGTGAGCACCGGGAGGCGCAGGGAGAGGGGGGGAGGGAGGTGTTCCGGGACTTCCTCAGGTTCCCACCCTAGCAGGCCTTGTCTGCTGGTTAATGTGTGGCATTCAGTTCTTTCCATCTGCCAGCCCTAGCCTTTAGTGGAGGTTAGGGATGTGGGTGGTCTAAACCAGAGTCTCTTGGGCTTGTTGATCAGAAGGTTGGTGGTTCAAATCCCCGTTGCTCTGTCCCAGCTCCTGCCAACCTAAAGGTAAAGGGACCCCTGACCATTAGGTCCAGTCGTGACCGACTCTGGGGTTGCGGCGCTCATCTCGCTTTATTGGCCGAGGGAGTTAGCGTTCAGCTTCTGGGTCATGTGTCCAGCATGACTAAGCTGCTTCTGGCGAACCAGAGCAGCGCACAGAAACGCTGTTTACCTTCCCGCCGAAGCGGTACCTATTTATCTACTTGCACTTTGATGTGCTTTCGAACTGCTAGGTTGGCAGGAGCAGGGACCCAGCAACGGGATTCGAACCGTCGACCTTCTGATCGGCAAGTCCTAGGCTCTGTGGTTTAACCCACAGCACCACCCGTGTCTCTCCTGCCAACCTAGCAGCTCAAAAGCATGCCAGTTCTAGTACTCAAATAGGTACTGCTGTGGCAGGAAGGTAAACGGCATTTCCATGCGCTCTGGTTTCTGCTGCTCCAGAAACGGTTTAGTTATGCTGGTCACATGACCCGGGAAGCTGTCTGTGGGGAAATGCCTAAAAATGGCCTGAAAGCGAGATGAGCGCCACAACCCTGTAGTCTCCTTTGACTGGACTTAACCGTCCAGGGGTCCTTTTATTTTTTAGTGGAGGATTCCTCCCCTAGGACTGGTCAAACTGACCTCCTACTTCCCTCACACCAGCTGCACTGACAGTTGGCATTCCATGCCTGGCCCTTTCATTTTAATGCAGCAGCCTGGATGCTTTTGGGGGTGAAGGGTGAGGGAGAGGAAGACAGGGCTTGCTGAGCTGTTCTATCCCGGCTTGGTCATTGGGATCATCTGCAGGACCGTCGCTGGTTGTTTCTCCAGTGTCACCGGCCCAGGCCTGTGACTTGAAGCTCCTCCCCCAACCCTGCCAACAGCCTTCTCCCTCTCTTCTCGCCCCCTTCCCAGGTGCAACCCAACTCCATCCACATCTGTGCTGTGCTGGTGGAGTACAAGACCAAGACGGACCGCATCAACAAAGGGGTGGCCACTAGCTGGCTGAAGAACAAGCAGCCCAACGAGAACGGGCACAAGTCCACAGTGCCCATGTATGTCCGGAAGTCCCAGTTCCGCCTGCCGTTCAAGCCTAGCACTCCCGTCCTGATGATCGGGCCTGGCACTGGCATTGCCCCCTTCATGGGCTTCATCCAGGAGCGGGGCTGGCTCAAGCAGCAAGGTGGGTGCCGTTCCAAACAAGCCCACCCCCTTTACTGGGCTCTGATTGGCCATGCCAGCGGCAAATGGGATGGCTTGTTGTTGAATTCCACAATCTGCACTAGGGGTGAGGGATCTCAAGGCCTAGAGTGCTATGGGACTCTGGCCGCTCATTGGCCTTGCTTTGTGCCTGCTGCAACTGCTCTTGCCTGCCTGAAATTTGTCCTTGCATGACTTAGATGGAGAGGTGTCTCTGTAGAAACCTCTGGCTTCTCCATGGCTTCCGCAGTTCTTTTTCCCTGTAAAATGCTGGGGTGGGTGCATGAAGCACTGTCGAGCTCTGATTTGACTTAACAGTGCTTTGTAGGCCAGTGCTGCCAGGTGACATAGCAATGTTGTGAAGTCCAATCAGAGCAAGGGCGTGAAGCGTTGCCCTTGCTCTGAACTGGCTTGCTGATGCAATGGAGGTCAACGTCACCAGGCAATGTTGGCGTTGACTGAAACCAAATCAGAATGAGGGCACTCCTCCCTGTCTTGGCTCTTGCACCTTGGGAGGGAAAGCTAGATGGCATCCCGCAACCCCCTTCTTTGTCTCTGAGCTCCTTTGTAAGGGCACGATACAAGTTTAATAAAATAAAATGAGTCTTGCGATTGGGAGGCCAGTTCAGAGCAGGGCTTCACGCAGAGGCGCAGTGGGCAGCCTCCATCACAGGGGGGCGCCCTGTTAATAAGTTGCACCAGAGTGAAGGATGGGGGTCTTTTTTCCGTTCCAGGCAAGGATGTGGGCGAGACGGTGCTTTATTATGGCTGTCGGCACGAGAACGAGGACTACCTCTACAAGGAGGAGCTGGCCAAGCTTCTCAAGGAAGGGGCCCTCACTCAGCTCAACGTCGCTTTCTCCAGGGACCAACCTCAGAAGGTATTCCTGCAATGGACTAGACGATCCTCTGGGCTTCCTCCAACTCTGTGATCCTGTGCACCTCCCTTGATTTTTGCAGGGCTTTGTCAGTCAAGCGTAATTCTGACACTGCAGGGAGGCCATCGCCCCCCTCCTTTTCATTCTTGTCTTCCTCTTAATTAAATTGATGTACTGTCCTTCATCTGAAGGCCACGTGGAGGTTCACCGCATGCAACATAAATTTCACAACGTCCTATCTGTCCGGCATATGGATCAACACAGTTATATAAATGCAACTCCAATAAGGAATGCAAGGTGAAATGCAAATTGTCATAAGAGCATCAGCATAAAAAGGAGGAGGAAATCAGCAGTGGGGCATCTGAAATACAAAGGCAGCACACAAATCACTTCTAAGGGTTGACAGGCCTATTGAGGGGGTGGGAAAGGGGGTTGCACTGATGGGAGAGGAGGTGTAGCTGAGAAACATAGCATATATATCGGCTTGGCAAGAGTTCTTTGCCATGATGCCCTCCGATCGAGTTTGTGGTAGGGCCACTGCAATTGTCCACCTGGGCCCTTCCTCAGAGTTGTCTTCCCTTGGCTCCTCTCTGTTTAAATGTGCCAAGTCACCTTTGCAATCATAAGGACTAGAATCTTTTCCCTGTGTGTGTGTGTGTTTTAATGAAGCAGAGGATAAGATTCTGAAACGCCTTCTGGGTGTTGCTGGAATACAACTCCCATAATCCCATTCCCTGTGCTTCCTGGGGGACTGATGGGGACTGGAGTCCATCAACACCTGGAAGTTACCACGTTGGCTGCTCCTAGTGGATGCCACACGGTATGCTAACCCGACACCCTCGAGATGTTTTGACTACAACTCCCATCAGCCCCAGCAAACTTGGAAAGGGCGTTTAAGGCAGGCATAGGCAAATTCGGCCCTCCAGACTACAACTCCCATCATCCTTAGCTAACAGGACCAGTGGTCAGGGATGATGGGAGTTGTAGTCCCAAAACATCTGGAGGGGCCGAGTTTGCCTATGTGTGTTTTGAGAGAGAGAGAGTTAGGGTTGGTGGGAAGTTGCTTTGTGCTTCTTACGATACGACTGCAGAGGATACAACTGGGAGACTTCACAAGCTTGAACGGCTTCTGTTCCCCGTCCCACCCCCTCAATCTGCTTTTGCTTCTCTAGATTTACGTCCAGCACCTGCTGAAGAAGAACAAGGAGAATGTATGGAAGCTGATCCACGAAGGAAACGGGCACATCTACGTGTGCGGGTGAGTAGGGGGCTTGGTTGTGGGTCTTGAGGCAGCTGCTGCAGTCCCTTTGCCTCTCTGAGCTGCAGAAGATGGAGCAGGCAGGAAAAGGAGGCCAAGACTGGAACTGGCAGCTGGGAACTGCACAGGAGCAAAATTTTTGGCTAAACGTTTGGGAGAAACTTCCTCAATGCCTCAGCTGCTCCGAGACTGGAATGAGCTGGCTCAGGAAGAGGTGGACTCTCCTTTAGTGAGGAGGTATGCAAGCAGAGGACGGTTGCTGCCTTGAGCAGAGGAGTTGGCCTGGGTGACTCTCTTAAGGCAACTTCCAGGTCTTCAATTCAGCTCAGAAGTTATATCTGTAAGAGGAGACAGTCCTGGGCAAGGCAGACCGATGGCCTGACTTACGATAGTCAGTTTCATGTACAAGTATTTACTAGAAGTTCTCGAGAAATGGTGAAGCTGAACTTCTCCACCCAAAGGCTGTGTATCTCAAGAGCCGTGTTTCAGTTGAAAGAAAATGATGCCTCAGTCTCCCAAAACGATGGGGAATCTGTCTTCAAACCCAACATGAGTTCCATTTGTTGAGCAGGGTTTCCTCCCAGAACCTGGTGCCTTCTGCTCTGTCCCTGAGCTGTGAGCCATTAAAAATTAAGACATAGGATTTGAATTGTAGAATTTTAGAGTTAGAAGGGAGCCCACGGGTTATCTAGTCCAAACCCCTGCAATGCAGAAATCTCAACCAAAGCATCCATGACAGACGGCCATCCAACCTCTGCTTAAAAACCTCCAAGGAAGGAGAGTCCACAACCTCCAGAGGGAGTCCGTTCCACTGTTGAACAGCTCTTACTATCAGAAAGTTCTTCCTGATGTTTCAATCAAGGGCTTGCTCACCAGATTTGGATGCAATGAGTCCTCCGCTCATTTTCCAAGAAAAATGTTTCCCCATGAGGCTGCATTAAGTTGCATAAAACTCCTTTCACAGTTTGCTTCAGCCTAACCTGAAGGTTCGGGACGCGGGTGGCACTGTGGGTTAAACCACAGAGCCTAGGACTTGCCAATCAGAAGGTCGGCGGTTCAAATCCCCGCGACGGGATGAGCTCCGGTTGCTCAGTCCCTGCTCCTGCCAACCTAGCAGTTCAAAAGCACGTCAGAGTGCAAGTAGATACAGTGTTACCTCGGGTTAAGTACTTAATTCGTTCCGGAGGTCCGTACTTAACCTGAAACTGTTCTTAATCTGAAGCACCACTTTAACTAATGGGGCCTCCTGCTGCTGCCGCGCCTCTGGAGCCCGATTTCTGTTCTTAACCTGAAGCACTATTTCTAGGTTAGCGGAGTGTGTAACCTGAAGCGTATGTAACCTGAAGCATATGTAACCCGAGGTACCACTGTAAATAGGTACCGCTCTGGCGGGAAGGTAAACGGCGTTTCTGTGCGCTGCTCTGGTTCACCAGAAGCGGCTTAGTCATGCTGGCCACAAGACCCGAAGCTGTACGCCGGCTCCCTCGGCCAATAAAGCGAGATGAGCGCTGCAACCCCAGAGTCAGCCACGACTGGACCTAATGGTCAGGGGTCCCTTTACCTTTTTAACCTGAAACTGCCCACTGAAATTTCACCCCTCTGTGTATTTCTCTACCCTGCACCTGCCCACCTGCATCCTAAAACCTGCCCTTGAGTCAAATCTGAAGAGACTTCCATGTGGTTCGATTGTCAAACTAGTGAGAGACCCGGTTGGGTATGAATGCAATAAATAAGGGCTGCACTTGACCTAACGGGACCTCCCCCTCTCTGCGGGGGTCTTCCTCTTTGCAGCGATGCCCGGAACATGGCCCGCGACGTGCAAAACGCCTTCTACGAGATCGTGGCTGAATATGGGAAGATGAACCAGCAGCAGGCTGTGGATTATGTCAAGAAGCTGATGACCAAGGGGCGCTACTCCCTGGACGTCTGGAGTTAGGGTGGGCGGTGCTTGCAAGGTAGGGGGGGGCGGTTCTCAGTGGGGGGGCTGCAGGAGGGGCAGGGAAGGGACTCTCTCACTTGGCTGCACATCCTGCCCCCCTGTGGGACTGTGCTCAGGTGTGCACACCTGTCTCCCTCCTCGCTCCCTCCCATTCATTCCATGTTAAGAGTGTGCCGCAGGACGACTTGGATGGTTTTCCAGGGGGCGGGTTAGACCACCTCAGGCCAGAATCACCAGTCGCGCTCGCGCTCTCTCTCTCTCTCTCTCTCTTGGCAATTGCTGCTCCTCAGAGGACTTCTGAGTGTGCAGCGTTTTTCATTCTCCCTTCTCTACATGTCAAAACTTGCTTTCATTTTTTTGGGAAATGGAACTTCGCTCCAGTCCCATCTGGCAGGCATCTCTGCATCAGGAGAAGCTGCAAAAGTGGGGCTCAGGTGCTGACCCCTTCCTCTTAACTCCTCGGAAGATGCGTACCTTTCAGTTAGCCTGCAGGAAACGACCAAGCTCCCCAGACCCGCCCCCACCCTTTCCCAAACTGCTGTGAAGGGTGCTCCTGCCGCAGCCAGAGATGGCATTGCTTTGGGTTTTAGTGACCAGTGACCTGTGCTGTTGGGGGGGTCCCCAGTAGGATAACAGGGTGGGGGTCAAGTGGAGAACAAAACAACGTATTTAAGAAGCCAGCAGTGTGAGCGTAGGGGGGGCTCTTTTCTCCCTGCCCCTACACTTCTTACTGTGCCTAGAACAAGCTTGGAGACCTTATACCATCTGTGTGAAATTGGATCAAACATGGGAGGTGTGCATTTGGGTTGGTGGCTGTCCTGATCTGATACCTGGTGCTGCATGCTGGCATGTCTCAGGCTCACCTGTCTGGGGATGGCAGTCCTGCCTCTTGCCTGCGTCCCCTCCTGTTACAGCCTCATTGGATGAAACTCTCGCCCTCTCTGCTGTACCAGCAGACAGCCATGGAGGGTGGCAGTGGATCAGGGTGACACAGTTCAGTCTAGGCTGGAGGACAGTACCTGGCTGTCCAGTCCTCTTTCGTTGGCACTTAATTTCCCTCCCTCCCCCCCCCCCCAAACAGTGGGGAAGCCCATTCCGGACATGGCGGCCCCCTCCGGCCAGTTCCTAGGCCCGCCTGTCATTTCCCCCTTGCTGAGACCGATGGGGTGCTGCCCCTGGCATGAGAAAGGTGTGTGCCATGGCCGAGCCCAGCCATGGCGCTTTTCAGCCCTGGTGTGGCTTGCCTCCCCAGCCATGCAACTTAACGGTTCGTGTTGAAGCTGCCAGTGTGTGCCCAAGGATGTACGTTTGGATTGAGTGCTGGGGTGAGCAGCTTGTCCACTGAATGTACATAACTGTAAGGAGACTTTGCTCTTGGAATAAAATATGGCCTGATTCTTTTGCTCTGCCTCCTTCTTAGGCCTTGTGTGGGGTGGGGGCTTGTGGAGCTGAAGCTGGAACTGGAGAGATGCTCCCAACCTTACCTTCCACGGATGCACCAAACCATTATCAAGGCACGTGTAGTGGGCAGCAACCCACTCGCCAACGCTGCTAATCTTTACAGACCGCTATTTGGAGAGAGCTTTTACTACAGGGTTTCCCAAGCTGAGGTCCACTTGGAGTCCACAATGTGGTCTGTGGATTTGGGGTTGGAGATGGGAGGCTGCACAGCCAATGCACTATTTCTTATGCTGGGTTACCATTTGAATTGTATGAAATGTAAGGAATCACAGAATTGTAGAGTTGGAAAGGGACCCCGAGGACCATTCTAGTCCAACCCTCTGCAATGCAGAAATATGCAGCTGTCCCATGGGGGCTCGAACTTGCAACCTTGACACCATGCTCTAACCAGCTCAGCTATCGTGTGCTTAGCAAGCCACAAAGCCAGAGGGCATCTGGCACGGTGCATTACAACGGCTACAGCAGACAGAGGGGGGAAATCCTGAACAGGTCTGCAAGGATCTTCAACTTTCAAGTGGCCGGGTGTGTGTGTGTGTGTGTGTGTGAAGTGTGGGAACCACTGTTCCTGTCTTGGTGAGGGGAAGAGGGGTGGTGGTGGTGGTCTGCTGCTCCTTTTCAAAGCCCCCTAAGCTCATAGCGGCCAACCAAGCATCTTTTGCCATCCACATAAGAGCCTGCTGGATCAGGCCATCAGAAACCTGCTTCCTCCAATAGTGGAGATGCTTCACAGCCATTGCTTGCCCTCATCCTCCATGCATTTGCCGATAACGTTTTAAAGCCATTCACATTGGTGGCCATCATTACTTCATTAAAAGGCTTACAGTTTAACAAAGCCCGTAAGTGAAGAGCTCATGGGATCAGAACTGTAGGCTTGGGAAAGATCCCCTCCTTGGGGGGGGGGGTCAACCCCCTGCAATGCAGTAAATGCAACTCAATAATCAGTGACGGACAGCCACTCGTAAGCTCTGCTGAAAAACCTGCAAGGAAGAATCTCCTTGTCATTTGAATCTATTGGCCCAGGTCCTGCCTGCGGGAGGAGCAGAAAACCAGCTTGCTCCACCTTCCATGGGACAGCCATGGTTGAAGAGTTGAAGAGGACTATAAGGTCACCCTCTTAGTCTTCCCTTTTCCAGGCAAAGCACACCTAACGCCTCTCTCTGTGTGTCCTGTACAAAACACTGCATCCCATGCAAAAATCGCACAACCTGAACAACACTTGCATTTTCTCTTTCCTTTTACTATTTCACATATGCTGCTTTCATGGGAGGAGCAAGGATAAAGCAAAAATTCAACACAGCCACTTCCCTGGCTGCTTTAGGACTGCAGCAGATGGGCAATACCTGCTATCCTGCGAAATGGAGGCGTTGCTTCAAAAGAATGAATGGAAGCTGAACTCCGCACTTCCCGCAGATGTTTGATGCTCTCCTAGAAGCTCCTGCTCAGAGGTGCCTTGGCACTTGCACAAGACTCCTCATTCATACAGGAATCGCTTTCAGCCTGAGGACTGCATTTGCTTCGGGCAACCTTTTAGAGTGGGTACGAGCAGAACAGCCTAGTAGACTGTGCTGCCCTCCCCCAAAATCAGGGTGGTTTTTTAAAAAATGCTTACGCAAGCAAGAGGCATTATCACACTTCAAGGACACATTCCCATCACAGGGGAAGGCAGGGGGAGAGAGGAAAGAGTTCCTTCCAAATGCAAAGGCACGCAAAGGAAGCTATCCTTTTCTCTTGCTGCCCAGATACCCAAAAAAGCCACCCAATGTCCCATCTCTCTCCTCTCATCACTATGCAATGGCCCAAAATGTGCCTTCCTGTTCAGCTGGACCCATTAATAGCCAACGCTGCTGGCCATTGCAATGGAGATTGTGCAAAACCCCGACCCATCCCTCCTCTCCTTTGTTGGTTGAAAGGCAGGAGAGGCACCAAAAGCATTTCCCTTTTTTTCTTTTATTCAAATAGTTTTTTTCCTTTTTTTACTACGACATGCGTACATTCTTTAAGATGATTGTGACGCAGACCAGCTCCTCCCAGCTTCCTGAAGACATCGATATGCACACAAACACACAAAAGACACCACAAAGCTTGAACAAGACACTGTCCCCCTACTACACCATCACGTAGCAAATTCAGACCATGCTGTTTCCTAATCCCCACTTTCCTGAAAGCCTTTGGAGGCTTCTGAACAATGGCAACGCCGTACCGGCATGCCATCCACTTCTCACTGCCGGCCAACCGCCAAGAACCATTCCTGGGTCACAGGAGGGGGAAGGTTGCTTGCGTGCAAGGCTGGGGCAATCCTCCCTTCTGCCACCCATGCACCCTGGCCTCAGGATGTAAGAAAGCAGACACGGGTGCAGGACGAGGGTCCCTTCTGAGGAGCAGAGCAGCACTCCGAGGCAGAAAGTGATGCTTTGTATGGCAAAGGGAAAGACTTCTTTCTCTTGCAAGGCGGTTCAAAATGGGGCAGGGGAGGCCCTGCACAACATCCTCACTACTTATACATACCATGGCCTCAGTTGAACCTGCTTCCTTGTTAAAAGTCTGCTAGAAAAGAGCATGGCGGCTGTTGGCAATCCGTCGCCTGCTCTTGTAGGAGGGTTGGGCCCAAGGGTACCATAGAGAGTCATGTCCAAGTGGGTCGCTCTAGGCCCCCAGCACGCTGCTATGATCCTGGAGAATCTCCTCCCACCGTTGAGGACGAGGTCCTGTCCTCGGCGGAAAAGGGCACAGGAGTTTGCCCAGTCACACGCCACTTTGTTTGAAGCACTGGTTCAAAGTCGGTGGACTCCGGGAGAGTTGCGCCCAGCGCTGAGCGGATTGTCCGTTCCAGACCAGCTGGAGCAGGACCAGCGCTGCCTCCAGCCAGGTGAAAAAACGGCAGAACACCAGATGGCAATACAGTTTTGTTGGCGGGGGTGAAGGTGGGGGGAGAGGACAAGGAGAGTGGGGTGGGACAGGCCCCGCAAGCCCCATCCCCTTTACTCCACCTTGGTCTTGTCCTGGAATTTCTGGTGAACAACACGCAGGGTGGTGAAGAAGTTGCCGGTGAAGAGGACAAAGAAGGGGAGGCCGCACATCAGCACCTGCCAGAGGAATTTAAGACTTGGTGAGACTTTGCCCTGCCAGGAGGGTGGGGGAGATGGCAGGGGGGTCACCCCAGCAGTTCTCCCAGATGGTAGTTCTTGGAGATGAGTGGACATCCTGTCCCCATCCAAAGAAAGAAGCTGTCACAGACCCAACATGATGAATGAATCAATTTATTGCGGTCAAGGACCAGAGTGTGGCACAATGAATCTCATTTCTTTGAACTTGTTCCAAGAGCTGTTCAAAAGAACCTCTATTTCCCCCCTCATTTTACATGCTTGCTGCTTCCAGAGCTCCAGCAAGTTGTGTATCCCCCCCCCCCATCTTACTTGCCTTTTGGCTCAAGGTCTGTCCCTCCCCCCACCAGTGAAAGCAGGACATTTATAGAATCATAGAACTGTAGAGTTGGAAGGGACGGCAGCGGTCATCTAGTTCAACCCTCTGCAATGCAGGAATCACAGCTAAAGTTTAATTTAGCCAAACTGCATTACCATCTATCCCATCATAAATTTATTTATATCCTGCCTTTTTCCTTGACAGGGATGCAAAGCAGCTTACAAATAAAATAAGTACAGCTAAAGACGTTTTTAATAATAGCTTTTTTAAAAAGAACCACTAACAGAATTCAAAAGTTTAAGATCTATTAAAAACCATACACATAATTACAATAAAAATAGCATGGCACCAGCCCTTTCATGAAAAGCAATCAGTTCCCAAAAGTCTGTTGGAGTAAGAAAGTTCCCACTTGCTATTTGCTAGTTTTCTTTTTGAATAGGATCTATAAGTTGCACCTGGCCTGCAGAGAAGCCCACGGTTGGTTCACACAACAGCAACCAGAATCATGCACCCTGCCCATCGCACGGAAGGGGGAAAGGGGTTATGGGAGGCTGGTGTTGGAAATGACGGCTCCACCCAGAGGTTCCCCAGCCCTTCCCCCCCGAAGCAGCCTTCAAAATGGGGACCAGGCCTTGAGATAGAAAAGAGAAGGGCTTTCTGCCCTCAGGAGGGTCAGTGTTAACTATCCCACCCTAGCTGGGCCAATAGCCTGATGCTGCATATATGGAAGTTTCCTCTGAAGGTTTCACAGGGTTAAAACAAAAGAGGGAAAAGGAGCTCTTACCTGCCACTCTTTGCATTCTGGATGCCTGGCCAGTTGGAAGAGGGTGAGGGCATTGTAAAGCTGCCAGAACTAGAGGAGTCAGGGAAAGAGAAGGGAGCACAGACATTTTATTTGCAACATGTTACACTGGACCAGTGGTTAGAGTGCTGGACTTTAGGGATGGGTAGACCAGGGTTCAAATCCCAACTCGGCCATGAAGCTCACTGGGTGGCTTTGGGCCAGTCGCTGCCTCTCTCAGCCTAACCTACCTCACGGGGTTCTTGTGAGGACGAAATGGAGAGGGAGGAGACCCACGTGCACCACCACCTTAAGCTCATGGGGGGGGAGGTGGGGTGTAAACATAGCAAATAAATACATAATACGCCACAGTTTCCAGGCCACATGAAAGTGACAGGTGGTTGGTGGAAGGACCCCAAGTGAGAGGCAGGGGATTGAAGATCTCCCAGGGTGAGAGACGGGGAAAGGAAAAGGGGAGATATGGGTCGCTTTCTTTGAGAGAAGCTTCTGTATTTGTGTGCTGCCTTTGCAATTGAGATACCATGTTGCTGATTTTCTCTCCTTTTTATGCTGTTAGGAGAATCTGCATCGTACTATGCACTCCTTATAATAACTTTTTTGTTGTTGTTGTTGCATTGATATGACATTATGTTATTTGTGGCATGTGCTGTAAAAACACCCTGTGGGCTTCTGACCAAGGATGGCATATAAATTTAATAAATAAGAACAAAGCCAAACTT